CCCTGTTCATGCTCTGTCTCTGTCTCAAAAATAAACGTTAAAAACAAAAATTTAAAAATCAATCCAGTTTGGGGGATGATTAGACCTTAAATTATAACAGAACAAAGGCAAGACTATTCTGAGTGGGCAATTTCCTCCATCAGGTGGAAGAATGTTAACATTTTAGACTCTAAGAAACCAGGAAAAGGTGAAGCAAACAGCCTGGACAGTGGAGAGAAGCATCAGTTTCACATCCCCCAGCTCTGTTTTCAGTGAGGAACGGGACTTAGTCCAGTCCAGGGTGAGCTGGTAATACATGGGTTTAAAAATAACAAGTCAGCAGGGCAGTTAAGTTCCTTTTTTGGTTGAGGTTTTGGCAGCCAACCTTCAACCTTTCAGCTCCAGACAAGGAGACTTAAAGCAGTTTCTCCTAACCTAGGCAGTTAGTTCCTTTATGGATCAATTAATGTTCATTTTATTTAAAGATATTTCCAAAGACATCCAGTGATCCAGTCCATTCACTTTTCCTTTTACCACCGTGGGGTTTCCATTAGCAGAGGAGCCAAGGGTCAGGAGTGACCTCCCCATGCACTGTGTCCCTCAGGGAGTGAGGAGAAACAAGAGCCCACTTTCCCCTCCCAACAACTGTCAGAACACCGTGGATGGCCTCTGAGCCTGACTCCTGTTCCACGGTCTGTCTGGCCAGTAGCCGTCCCATCTTGAATGCTTCCTAGCACGAAGCAGAGGGGACAGAATAGCCTTGCGTAGCACTGATGCTAAGCAGATGCCACTAGTGCGAGAAGTCTGCTGACAGAGCACATGACTTCAGGCTAAAGGCCCCACACTGGCAATCTATTGCTTGCATCTTGCTTACAAATCATTAAAAAAAAATTGAATTAGTTACCAACTTTTAAGCATCAATTGGCCTCCCATAAAAACAAGGATTTTCATTTTATTAAAAAAACTTAAGACCCACAACCCTAAACTTTTGGTTCTTGCAGTGCTGTCACTTCCCTGCCAGTCAATACCGAGATGAAGGCTGCTTACCAGTCATGATCTCATCTCTAGTTCACATCAGTTTTAATTTACATTCACTGTTTATATTACCTGCTTAGCTCCTGTAGACACCTAGTCACCACTGCCCACCCACCCCCCTTCTTCATCCCTGCTCTATCTATAGGTTCCTTTGAGGTATTCCACATGTCCCCAAAAATCTAAAGGATTATACCTGCATTTTCAACATCGCTGGACTAGACAGGCCGAATGGCAAGACAAAGACGTGGCTTCAGTTTACATTCGGAACAGCTAACACACCCACTGGCTTATGGGCAGCTGAACATGACCGCACACTTCTGGGACACAGAGCCACTCCCACCCTTTCCTCCCATTAAAGAAAAACATAACATAGTAGACAGTGGTGGGGTCTACAGTATCTTTATTTTAAACAGAGAAACCAGGCTGCAAGAAGTCTACGTGATCGGAGCAGATGGCGGTTTTCTTTCCAGAGGGTGAAGCCTGAGCCTAGCTGGCAGCACACAAAGGTTAAAACCAAAGCCCAGATATCCTCTTTCCTGGTCTGCCCTGCATGGCCTGCTCATGATGTGAGATGAGAGACTGCACGACCGCACTGGATGAAGTGAGGGGTCCAACTGGGCAGAGGCGACACCTCGACAGGAGACCATCATTGAAGAGGACACGAAAATCAAGTGCAGTGACTTACTCTCTGCTATTCTCTGATGAGAAAGGTGAGGGTATGGGATGAACGGTAAAATATGTTCTTCATTCTTCAAGTAAGTAAATCCTATAGGATGGGGTTGATGATCAATTGAGCAAGAGAAGAGGGTGAAAATCTAGGCTAGTTATAGATCTCTGTGCGTAAGGAAAAGAACAGCAATGATAAGGGAGAAGAGAGGAACATTAAAATGCCTGACAGTATTAAAAAGAAGGGCCTTCCCCCCCCCCCCCCCCCCCCTTAAATAAGACAGGAAACAGTATCTTTTGTTTTCCTCGCTGCAATGGCAGCAGACTTGCTGGTTTTCATGAAACATGATTTCTGGAACAAGGTCTGTTGATAAGCTTGCTCAATCACGGGAGGACACGGGACTGACTGCTAATGTTAGAATGAGGTCTTCCCACAACACCTCTTGTAGGTGCTACTCTCGTGCTGGATCTGCAGAGGTGCCCCAACACCATATGGTGCTCCAGTTAAAGCTTCAGAAACATTGCAATGGCATGATCGACAGGTTTTTTTGGGCTTTCTTGTACATGTAAACTCTTGGAACAGCTGGAGTTAAAGCATGAGCAGGAGTTTGGTTTTGAGCCACAAAGTTTCAGACACCAGCCACAGATGCCTCTGCCCTATTTCACTACATGTTCTTCTCCGAGAAACACAATGGTTGAGTGTTAAGTACTGTCGCTGAAAAGAAATGACCTGCTCACCGCCACCCGCCCTCCTCCTTCCTCTGTGTGAATCTCACAACAGCAGAGGCTGTAGACAGGAAGGCTGTTTGCTCTTTCTCAGCAGGGAAATTACTTGGTGACCTGGTGAATGGCGTGGGCAAGGTAGCCCACGTTGCCTGAGGTGACTCCTGCCACAGAGATGCGGCCATCCTTTGTCATGTAGATGGAGAATTCCTTGGTCAGCCTCTCCACCTGCAGAGAAAAGAGTACAGGAGCACTCCCAGGCAGGGGGATTTGCCCAGCCAGGTGTGGCACGGTGGCCAAGGGTTAAAACAGGAAAATAACAGAAAACTCTATTTTCTCGTTTAAACCCTATTCCCAGAATTTGGTAGGCTAGTGCAGAGGGAGAGAAGGACAAAATGCTATCTTAAAGTAGGATGAATACCGAGGTGTGGACAGGCAAAAAAAAAAAAAAAAAAAAAAAAAAAAAAAAAAAAAAAAAAAAAAAAAATCTCATTTCAGCATTTGTAGGAAAGATAGATCCAAAATCCAGCTATGGAACAGCTATGTCTCCTATCAATATTCAGGCTCCTTTTGGTTTGGGAAACTCTTCAGAGAAGCAGCAGTGGTCACAAAAATGATCAAAACGTGCTCTGCTCCTCAGCAGTGTGCAACCTCATGGGGGACACAGACAGGTAAATGACTAAGAACAAAACAAAATGAATGCCACACTCTTCCTTTACCTAAAAGGGCTTCAAACGACTGTTTTAACAGTAATCTGAACAGCTAAGTGATCTATGAGGAATTCCATCATTTTGCAAAGACTCATCAGTTGGTCAGCTGAGGAGAAACTGGAGTCCACTCACCTGTTCAGGCTTCAGTCCTGTGAAACAAAACATGCCAATCTGGTCAGTGATGTGCTGCCAGTTGTGGGAGGAGCCCTCCTTCTTGAGGTTGGAGACCAGCTGAGTCCTCATGCTAATGATGCGGTCAGCCATGCCTTTCACTTCCTGCAACCTGTGCAAAAACCCACCAAGATGCAGCTCAATTCCGGACAAGCACTGACAGACAAGCCACAGCTGACATGAGTATTCCCCTAGTGTGCCTCAATTCTTTGTACTATCCTGAGTTATATGCTAGTTATAGCCTTCCGTTTTCTATTAGAACACTATATTGATTAGGCAGCTAAAATGATTAACATAATTGAGTTACTAAGAAAAATGAAAGAACGACTCAAACCTAGGAAGGCTAAGGTTCTCCATACTTTATGTGGGGGCAAAAGTTGTGTTTTAAATAGTAAACTATGACTTTATTTTTAACATGGATGGAAGAAACACTCCTGCGTTTGCAGTTAAGACAGTGCACTGGGAGGCTACAATGTGCCAAGCCATGTGCTAGGTGGTAGGGAGAAAGGGAGGCTTAAGACATAGTCCTTGCCTGTAAATCTTACAACTTGACACTGGGAACAAACCTGGGAACAACCAACTATGGAACAAGGCAAGCGAAGGTAAGAACCCATAGAACAGTGCTGTGTTGAAGGCCCCAGGAAGAGATGTTAATTCTATCTGGGTGGCTGAAAGGAGTCCTGATCCACATGGCTCACTCGGTTCTGTACATAATCACTGCTTTCCTCAGAATCTCCTCTTCCCATTCTATTCCTATGGCTCTAGAGGAAATTCTTATCTGTTCTCAGCAAATAGACGACTGTGGAAACATTTATAGTTTACCCCCAGTTCTTATGTGTTCACATTCTTTAACCACCTATGATGAGGCCATACACAGAACAGATCACAATCGCCAATTACAAGTCAAATGAGAGTCCTAGTCATTTGTGACTCGTTAAACATTTACAATTGGGCACTTGCCCCTAAAAACATGGATTTGTCCTCCCTTGGAAAAGATGGCAAGTTGGCAACTCGGCACTAGCAGAGTGATTACTGGCTGGAGCTGGAGCCCTGCCCCTTCTAGGGATGGCACTGGGTTTACATTTCCTATGGTTCCATCTCTCCAGCTCCATTTACTTTGAGGCCGGGGTGCTAGAGGCAGGGAGTGTGACCACGGCCAGATCCAGGGCAACTTTGGTGAAGCCCTTCTGTGCTCCCTGCTACCCACAGAATGAACTTCTGACTTCTCAAGATACCAGTGAAGGTGCTCCATGATCTATCTGCTCCCACCTTCCCAGCTTTGCTGCCTTCTCCATCCTCCTCCCACTCAGTGTCTTTGCCACAAAAAACCACTTGGGACTTTTGATGCACATTGTGTAATGTGTGCCTTTCTTCATGCACATCTGTCCGGTTTTCATTTACTCTTCATCTCCTTTGGGGGAAAAAAAGCCGCCTTTTCTCTTCAAGGCACAGCCCACATGCTGCTGTCTTCATTAGGTCCTCCCTCATTTCCCCCTAGAATCGATGGCTGCTCCTTTCATCCGCCTTTATTCCTTGTCTCTTTTATCAATGCCATACACGTACCTTTCTCACTGGATTATAAACTCTACAGGTAGAAATGTCTTACTCATCCAGCATACTACCTTTGTCATCTTTGTACACTACAGACTTTTGATGTGTACTGATGTGCACACATTAAAAAAAAAAAGCGTAGTATAATTCTAAGAGACAAATCGAAACTAATCCTACAACACGCATATATAGGAGTAAAATATATAGTATGTTACAATGATGAAAAATAGTGAAGAAAAAAGCTGGGTTACAGTGACTATATTTACAGTTAATTTTTTCCCTCTCCTAAACTTTCTGAAATGTACTTACACGTTAATGTTATAATGGAAAAAAGTAGAATTTAAAAAGTAGTTAATATTTTGGTAAGCCCTCCATGGACTACTGAACTGAAAGAACTAGCCTGAACCAGACTTACTTCAATGTTTCATAGGATTAATTTAAGGTAGCTGTCATGTGAAAAGTTGGGGGGTTGCAGATAAAGTTCCTTGCAGACAGCAGACAACAGATTTAGCTTTTCTCTTCAGGAAGCTACTCAGGAATCTATTCCCCCAATTAACTGGCTACACAGGACAAACTCTTGTTATAACAAATCACATCGTTCATGGGCATCTTGGCTTTTTTTTTTTTTTTAAGTTTATTTATTTGGTGGGGTGGGGGGAGAAAACACGAGCAGGGAAGGGGCAGAGGGAGAGAGACAATTCTAAGCAGGCTCCACACTTTCAGCACAGAGCCCAATGTGGGGCTTGTACCCACAAACTGTGAGATCATGACCTGGGCCGAAATCGTGAGTTGGACGCTTAATTGACTGAGCCACCCAGATGCCCCTTGGTTAATTAACTTTGAATTATATAGAGCAGGGGGTTAGCAAACTTTTTATTTTTTACTTTTTAAATTTTATTTTTTTAAAGTTCCAGTAGAGTTAACATGGAAAACTTTTTATGAAGGGCTAAATTATAAATTTGTTAGGTTTTGTGGGCCATTTGCTCTCTGTCACAACTACTAAATTCTGCTATATGGCATAAAAGCAGCCACACGTAATTCATCAAAAATGGGTGTGGCTGTGTTCCAATAAAACTTTACAAGAACAGGGAACAAATGAGATTTGATCCATAGAAGTTTGCCAACCTCTGATCTAGAGCAAGGTTTTCTACATTGTGTCAGGACCCATTAGTAGGTGATAAAGTTTTTCTAAATTGTGTGTCTTGACTCATGAGTAGGTCATAAATTCAAGGTAGATGGATGCAACTGGCATTCAGGAAACATTTAAATAAAAAAAAAAAAGAAAATATTAAAATATAACACACGAAGGGGCACCTGGGTGACTCAGTTGGTTTGGTGTTCAACTTTGGCTTGGGTCATGATCTCAGTTTGTGGATTTCAGCCCCGCACCAGGCTCTGTGCTGACAACTCAGAGCCTGGAGCCTGCTTTGGGTTCTGTGTCTCCCTCTCTCTCTAACCCTTTTTTTTTTCTTTTTTTGATTTTTTTAATGTTTATTTTTGAGAGAGAGAGAGAGAGAGAGAAAGACAAAAGGAGAGAGAGGGAGACACAGAATCCAAAGCAGGCGCTTCCGAGCTGTCAGCACAGAGCCTGATGCAGGGCTTGACCCCACAAACTGCAAGATCATGACCTGAGCCGAAGTTGGATGCCCAACCGACTGAGCCACCAAGGTGCCCCCATCTCTGACCCTCTCTTGCTCATGCTCTCTCTCCCTCGTAAAAATAAACAAACATTAAAAAAAATTTAAATATAACACATGAAGCCTAATATTAAGTTTGGACAACCATGTCAGTTATATATATGTTTACAGGTAATGTGTTCAGAGTCATGATACAAATATCTGTCTTATGTGGACTGTGGTTAAAGAGATCGAGTAACACTAAGAGCACAGGGGCCAAGAGATTCAGATGGTAGGAAAAATAAAAACTCAAGCAGAAATACTGGTTCGGTGGTAGTTATTACTAGGATTAAGAACCAAAAATATAGTGTTCTTAAAAAAGTTTTCCTATGTAAGGTACTTCAATTTGAACTCAATTTGAGGAGAAGGCAGGTTTTACTTAGCATGCAGATAATAGAATAAAAAAACCCTGCCATTTCTCAATCATTTGTCTCCAATGTATTTATTTGGAAGTGCTAAAAAAAAAAAATGCCCACTCCTCTCTCCCTTCTGCCTCTTCCATATATGGAGGCTGCGTGATATTTCTATGTCACTAGTGGCTGATTATAAAGGAGCTTTGAAAGATCAGTGGTGGGGCAGACAGATGGCTGGGGAGTGGCAGTGTGCTCTTACCATTGTTTTCGAAGGTCAGGGCTGGTTAGGATGGTCGAGGCAATCCGGGCCCCGTTGATTGGAGGGTTGGAATACATGGGACGGATCAAGATCTTCAACTGTGACTCCACCCTTTTGGCTTCATCAGCATCTTTGCAGACCACAGTGAAGGCTCCCACACGCTCACCTGAGAAGACAAAAAGGGATCCTGTCTTCTAGTTTTCCAATGTAAAATGCTGAAACAAATGATTCAATTTGCTACATGTTATGCTTCCATCAGCAACGCCACAAAAATATGTTATAAATAAAAACCTTTCAACATCCAGTATGGTGACTTTAGAGATAACAGAAAGAAAGCCTGAGAACTCAAAGGTTTCTTATTATATCCAACTTCTTGGCTCATGGAACGGTTACTTCTTGTTTAGAGAAACAATAGTTTTCTCTGCTGGAGGAATTAAGAGACACAAAAGATGATGTGACTAAGATCAGTTAGATCCATGTTACCGGTCTTTCCTCTCTGGGTAACACACACGCATGGACAGGCACAGACACTCTGTGGTGTCCTTTTCCAGCGCTTCTCCAATCTCACTGGGACAGACATCACAGACTGGGGCCTTCCGCTTACCGTACAAGCCCATGTTCTTGGCATAGGATTGGCAGAGACAAACATTAATGCCCTGTTCGATGAAGTGACGTACAGCCCAGGCATCCTTGTTACCATCACCGCTGGCAAAGCCTTGGTAGGCCATGTCAAAGAATGCAAAGAGGTTGTTTTTCTGGGAAGGAAAGAGAAGAGCAAAGCTTTAGGGAGTCCTTCTCAAGACAACCCACATGGCTGCCTGTGCTTACTGGGACAACGTCTGCCTCACATAGAGTCAACACAGTTTTCTCTCCAACTGGCAATTTGGAGATGTTTAATTTTCCTTGAGTTAAGGTATCATTATATATGTTTTTACTTTGGTGGATATGGTCCCTCAAAAAGACATTAAGAAAAGAGACTCTTAATTTCAGTCTTCCCAGAAAGCTGCTTGATCCAACAGGAAGCTCTTTTCAGGCCCACAGGAGTCTGGGTAATTACTGTGGTCCAGTCGACACAGGACCAGCATCAGCCTTTTCTGGGGCTAATGTAACTCTGGCAGCCTCACCTTATACCCAGAAATCATGGGAAGGCCTCATGAGAACCATCTCATCTTCAAAGTGCTCTCTGAATGTTCTTTCTCTGTCCCCCCCCCCCCAACATCTCATTTTATTTACACCTTAGGTTTGACAGAATGTAAAGAAAGGGAAACCAAAAGAAGTGAAAACGCGGACATAAGGCAAGAGGAATATTTTCCTCCCTTGGATTTTTTTTTTTTAAGTAAACTCTATCCCCAATGTGGGGCTCAAGCTCTACACTCTGAGATCATGAGTTACACAGTCTACCCACTGAGCCACCAATGTGCCCCTCCTCCATTAAAATTTTGACGAGGGCCTTCTCTGACAGCTGATGTGTGAATGGTAATGGCAATGCTGAGCAAACAGGCAAGGATAGGAGGGGACATGAGACAGTGTATAAAAGATGAACAAGTAACAAGGACCAGGGCAAATGACAGACATCCCGGGACCAGTGGGTACCCACTGTACAGGCTAGTCAATGACAAGATTTATCAGAATTACCCACATCTAGGCTGAGGAACAAAAATTATTTGCAAGCTGCTCACGTATCATCAATTAAGAACTGCTAATTATGCAAATGAGAAGTTCTTTCCTGACAACTTAACAACGTGGGCTCAAGGGTAATTAATTCTCATTGTTAAGACTTTGCCAAGGCAAACATCTAAGGCTAGTTACTGAACACAGAACTGTCACCAGTCAGTTCAGTCTCCTTACCTTTACCACTGTTGCTATTTCCTTCCACTGCTCAGGGCGAGGGTCCACTCCCGTGGGATTGTGGGCACAGGCATGCAGGAGAAGAACACTTTGCTGTGGCATTTTCTAAAAAGACAACCAACAGATGATTTTGCAGCCCTCAACAAGATAATTTACCTGAAATGCTGTAGGGTCACTATTTTTGATCAACGAAGATAATATGAGTTCTAAGAATTAGCTCATCCCCAGTATTTTAAGTCAGATATTGAGACTGAGATGTGAGGCATCAAATCTCCACGAGGAAGCTTGTTCCTTCAGCCCTCTTGCCTTGAAAGCCACACTTACCGAAATGTCCTCTATAGCGCCTGTGAAGTCAAAGCCACATGTCTTGGGGTCATAGTATCGATAACCGTGTAGCTGCATGCCAGCGTCCCTGAAGATGGGTGTGTGATTTCCCCAGGATGGTTTGGGCAGATAAACATTTCGGCTGAACTTAAAAAATCTTTGCTAAAAAATGGGATGAAAGGGAATGGAAAAATGAAGGAAAAATAAAGTGACATAGTTTATGGAGGAAGACATTTTTCTCTATTTTTCTCTTCAGTTTATCTCAATGACTGAGAGACAGTAATGACTGAGAGACGGTATGACTCAGCATCAAGACTGCCTGGGTTGGATCCAGGCTCTGACAAGGAAATTGGCTGTGTAGTTAGGGACCTCTCTGGGCCTCACTTTCTTCACTTGTAAAATAGCATTAAATGAACCTCCTTCATAAAGATTAACTGAGTTAAAACAAAAGCTGCTAGTAACATATGTGCTCAATAAATTATATTTATTGTTATTATAATTTCTAAAGTTTAATTATTTGAGAGAGAGAGAGAGAGAACATGTTCACGGGGAAGGGGCAGAGAGAGACGAAGGGCAAGAGAATCCCAAGCAGGCTCCACACTATGAGCAGAGAGCCTGATGCAGGACTCGAACCCACTAACCGTGAAAGCATGACCAGAGGCAAAACCAAGAGTCAAATGCTTAACTGACTGAGCCACCCAGGTGCCTTATTATTATTATTATATCTTCCTTGTAGTTTTTAAGTACTTTTTTTTTAAAACTTAAATCCAAATTAGTTAAAGTACTTTCATATTCCTTACCCGTGACTCCATTTATCAGAGAATAGGAAATCTTCCAATTATGTGGAAAGAAGTCAGCAAACACACATGCAATAGGAAAACACCCTCCTCCTCAGCTTACAGACTGTCTTACAGCTTTTTCCTGAAGGAGTTTCCAGACTCACCAGAAAACTGGCTCCAATCCTCAAGGCCCCGGTTCCAGAAATGGTCTGCACGGTGACATACTGAAGGAGAGACACCACGGTCAGGGAGGTCCAACACTCGCTAGAGGCCCACAGATACAGAACCGAGGCCAAGCCCACAGAGGCAGTACTCTGTAGTCATTGCCCTTCATTTTTCAGAAGTTGAAGACAATGTTCCAAATGGGTATTTGCAAACGAGAAAACAGCACTAATTGTTTCATTTCCCCATTTGCTAAGAGACAGATTGATTCTCCTTGGAGTTCTCAAAAGCCACCTCTTCAGTTTCCAACACGTTTGCTGATGGAGAAGCTAATTCCTTAGGGCTTGTTATTAGTATCATATGGTAGATGAGAAACTTTCAGGACCCAAACTCGCTCCCCATGAATAAGGGCTAATTTATACATATACCGTGGTCACTACATTAAAATATTCTAGAATTATACAAAATTCAATGTGTCTCTGAACATCAAAGCTCCTTGAAAAGCAAATCAATACATTATAATAATATTGCTACATTTTATTATTTTTTAAAAGTTTATTTATTTTGAGTGAGGAGGGGGAGAAGGAGAGAGAGAATCCCAAGCATGCTCTGCACTGTCAGCACAGAGCCTGATGCGGGGCTCAAACTCACGAACCGTGAGATCATAACCTGAGATGAAGTCAGACACTTACTTAACCGACTGAGCCACCCAGGCGTCCTGTAGTTTGTCCTTTCATTTTTTAAGTTTCTAAAGCATATTCAGTACAAGATAAACATAGGCATACACAGAGCAGTGTCAAATCTTCAATCAAATTACTATTCCATTTTCAGGACTACTGCTGCATTTTTGGGATTGGTGTGATATGAAATCGTTTATTTAACAAGTGCCAACTTACTTTCTAAAGGAGAGATATTAGCAATAGTGTGGTTACTGCAAACAACCATCATACAAAGTGATGTATCTCTATTTGTTTAAATTAGTTCACATTTGTTTAAACTGTTAAATTTAAACACAGACTGTAGGATGCCAGAGTCTGCTCTGCTTACCCGGCTACTTTTCAACACTTCATTGTTCTCACCCAAGGCTAGTTCTGCAGATGCCTTACAAAATTCAGCAAGTCCTGCAATGGGCAGGTATTCTTTGTCCAAATTTTTTGCAGCAATCTGGGCCTCTGCCTAGACAAGAGAAAATGCACCTGCTTAGTTTCTTCTCCTTACCTGGAATTACTGTGATTAATATTTAATGTTTTATAACTTAAACATATATATTCAATATAAAGGAAGTGAAGCCTTGTTTTTATTTTGGAAGTACTGTCCAAGGAAAAGGGTTAAGTACTACATCTGAAACTAATATTACATTGCATGTTAACTGGAATCTAAAGAAAATCTTGAAAACACAAAAATAAATAAATACAAACTATAAAAAAAGTAGAATACTTAATATTTTATATTGCAGAACAGAAATATTTCTAATTTTTAAAATCATACATATATTTTTTATATGGTTTAGGTTTTTATATGAATGGGTACAGTGTTCTCTTGGTCAAAATATAAAATGGCATTCTTGGAATGCACAAGAACAAGGTTTACGAGCAACACTTAAAACACTTATAAGTAGATATGAGATGATAAAATCAAAGTAAATACATAAAAAAGTAGTATTTCAAGGTACACGCCAGTCTCAGAACTTCAAAGCGTTAACAGTAACAGCCACATATCTTCATGCTTTGGAGATGGAGGCGTGGCTGTCCCTTTAGCTGTGTGAGTCTCAGCAAATTAGTAACCTTCCTGAATCTCAGCTGAATGGGGGAACAACTTGAAGTATGTACAAAAGCTTGTGGTGGTGTTCCAGCCTGCAAAATAGCTAATACTTGCTGAGTACTTTAAACTGACTTGCTGAGACCAGAGCAATTTCTGCATGACCTGAGACCCAGCAGCCAGCAGTTCTCAATGGGTCTTCTCCTCACAATTGAGCCCTTTTTTTGTACTCAGAGTCACAGAGAGGACACCTAACGCACACTCCCACACTTTTGGAAGAAATTTCTTCTTCCAGTGGTTCATTCAGGCCATGTTCTACTATTTCAGTGGCTCATGAGGGCTGGGCCAGCCTGCTGTATAGTGCGCAGCTCAGATGGTTAGAGTGTTCCTTACCCTCACCTGGAAGTATTCTTTTGAAATGTTCACTCACTGTGCCTGTATGGGGGAATGATGCATCACCACCCCACTTTGAGAAGTGACAAAGAAGCATTCATATATCAATAGAGGAGGTGCAGAGGGAAAGGACACTCATACTTTCTTTCAAAAAAACTGTTCTAACAGGATTATTTAAAGTTATAATGATAACCAATAGAAAAACTACTAATAAAAATACAACAAAAATAAAACAAATTATTCTACAGTGCAGTAGGAAGAAAGGACAGAGCATGCCTGTGTGAGAGCTTTATTAAGGCAATCAACATGAGAGGAAATGGAAAATAACCACAGTAACCCTCATCCACAAAGGGCTATTCTTATCACCAAAAGGCAATGTTTAATTCTTCGTCCTTATGTGCACCCTCAGGATTAAATACGAGACGATGCCTGCTTCAGTAGAAAATCACGTAAGTTCAATCTTGAAAAAGACCACACAGTTCCAATCTGTCTCTTTTATAGCCAAGGAGACCACAGCAGACAACCTGAGTGATTCAAGCAGTTAGTGCCAGAACTAGAACCCAGGTCTCCCGACTCCCAGTGTGGTGCTCTTTCTGCCACTCTCTAGGAGCTCTCTCCAGTTTACCCACCCTGAGAAGGCAGGAGATGAATGGCAAACTCACCTTCCGGACACTAGGAAGCACGTAAGGCTTTCCATTATCGTCCCGGTAGGCACCAACTCCCAGATTCATCTTTTTGCTGTTGGTGTCTCTCTTAAAGGCTTCTGTGACTCCCAGGATGGGATCTGGGGGCCCCATCTCCACATGGGTCCACCAGGAGCTGAAATGGGAAATAAAATGAAATCAGTCATAGTAGCTAGATTTCCATGGCCAGAGACATCTCAGATCTGCTGAAAATCCATTTCTTTGCAGAAGAATGCAGAAGACCAAAGATTTTAACACAAATGCAAGGAGAAGGTGGATGGGGAGGACAGGGTGCATGTGTAGGCTTTTAAAGTAGCCCACACCTGTCCTGAATTCCCAGGCAAAGAGGGCTATGAGAAACAGAGTGGTAAAAGATGACACAAAAGAAGCAAACAAGGGCAAGAGTATTATGTGATACTGTCCCCTCAAAGGGGCTTGGGTTTTATCTTGTTCTCAAAATTATTAAGGGGTATCTTTTGGAGAACTTGTTAAAAATACAGGTTCCTGGGGTACCTGGCTGGCTCAGTCGGTTAAGTGTCCGACTTCAGCTCAGGTTGTGATCTCACAATTTTTGAGTTCGAGCCCCGCATCAGACTCTGTGCTGAGAACCCAGAGCCTGGAGCCTGCTTTGGATTCTGTGTCTCTCTCTCTCTCTGCCCATCCCTCACTAGATCTCTCTCTCAAAAATAAATAAAAACATGGCACAAAAACAGACACATAGACCAATGGAATAGAATAGAAACCCCAGAACTAGACCCACAAACGTATGGCCAACTCATCTTTGACAAAGCAGGAAAGAACATCCAATGGAAAAAAGACAGTCTCTTTAACAAATGGTGCTGGGAGAACTGGACAGCAACATGCCGAAGGTTGAAACTAGACCACTTTCTCACACCATTCACAAAAATAAACTCAAAATGGATAAAGGACCTGAATGTGAGACAGGAAACCATCAAAACCTTAGAGA